GGCTCTAAACTGTTCTGCTCGGCTCAAATGACGGTGCAGAACTGAGGCCCGGGTGCAGAGCTGCTCTGCCACAACCTCTGAGCCCCCATCTGTTCAGTTACTAGCCTCAGAGGCTAGTCAGATTGAAACTGTGTGTGCATGTGTGTGTGTGCCTGTGTGTGCTCAGTTACTAGCCTCAGAACCTAGTCAGATTGAAACTGTGTGTGTTCCCCGCTTGAAGTCTAAAGCACTATATGCGAGGAAATCTGACCTAGGTGTCAGACACAGTAACTTAATAAAAGTTCAGACAGACAGAAATAGTTCTAGCGGTAGGGTTGTTAAATGTGGTTTAATGAACGTCAGATCAATCTCGTCTAAATCGCTTCTCATAAACGAACTTATTATAGACAAGGGCTTGGATCTGTTAGCGCTCTCGGAGACTTGGCTCCAACAGGACGAGTACGTTAGATTGAATGAGTGCACTCCTCCGACGCATGTTAACTACCAGAAAGCCAGAGCTACAGGTCGCGGCGGTGGTGTTGCGATTATATCACACACCAACTTGGTTCTTAGTCCCAAAACCAACAACGCTTTTCACTCGTTTGAAAACTTAACACTTTCAATCACCTGTCCTGGGTGGAGAAAACAAAAAGCAGTACTATTTATAGTTTTATACCGACCTCCTGGTCCTTACAGCGAGTTCCTAACAGAATTCTCTGACTTCATTTCAAACCTAGTTTTGGAATGGGAAAACATAGTTATAGCTGGAGACTTCAATATACATGTGGACGACAGCACTGACAGCTTAAACAAAGCTTTCAGCGCCGTACTAGATGGTGTTGGTTTTACTCAGAATGTCGAGGAACCTACTCACATTCATAACCACACCTTGGACCTTGTCCTGACCTACGGCTGTGATGTCTCCAATGTTGACATCCAGCGTCAAAGCTCGTTGCTGTCTGCCATTTCTTGATCACGTTTGATCTCGCTTTGGAGGACTTTCCTGTCCCGCAAGATAAAACCATAATGAAAAGAACCTTAAATGATAAATCTATCACAAGGTTCAAAGAACTAATACAGCCTATGTTGAATACTGCTGCAGGTGAACCTGTTCACAGCAGCTGCAGTCCCTCAGTCATTGACCAAACGGTGGGCAACACTATGGAGTCTTTAAAATCTGCATTAAATGCAGCAGCTCCTTTAAAACAGAAAACCATTAGGATTAGATCATCGTCGCCCTGGTACAGTGTTCAACTCCACACTTTAAAACAGGACGTCAGAAAATTGGAGAGGCTATATCGCCACTCCCACTCGGAGCCTGTCCACAGGGAGTGGAAAGCAGGTCTCCGAAACTACAAGAAGGCCCTTCGCGGGGCTCGAACTCAATACTATTCAACTTTAATAGAAGCGAATAAAAACAACAGTAGATTTTTGTTTGGTACCGTCGCTAAACTCACAAACTGCCATAGCGCAATCGAGCCTAAAATTCCAAGCTCACTGAGCAGTGTCGACTTTCTCCACTTCTTTAATAATAAAATTACATCCATCCGTGACAAGCTGGAGGAGGTTGCTCCTGCTGTTAGTGGTGGACAGGTTGAAGCGGCATACGTGACTTCCCACTTAGACTCTTCAGTGGGCCTTAATAAATTCATGGCTGTGAGCCAAGCAGAGGTGATCTCTGTGGTCACATCCTCAAAAGCCTCAACTTGCATGTTAGACGCAGTCCCGACATGGCTCTTCAAAGACATACTTCCTTTGATAATTGAGCCTATCGTAAATATAATAAACGCATCCATACAATGTGGCTATGTCCCACAAGCTTTTAAAACCGCGGTAATCAAACCCCTTCTGAAGAAAACAAACCTGGACCCAGAAATACTTACAAACTACAGACCGATCTCAAACCTCACTTTTATATCTAAAATCCTGGAAAAACTTATAGCTGAGCAGCTCCGCTGCCACCTGCAGGAAAATGATATGTTTGAAGTCTTTCAATCAGGATTCAGAGCTCATCATAGCACTGAAACGGCACTAGTCAAAGTCACAAATGACTTACTACTAGCTGCCGATAATGGACAAGTGTCAGTGCTGGTCCTACTGGACCTTAGTGCTGCATTTGACACAATAGACCACAGCATTCTACTGCAGAGGCTAGAATGTGATATAGGTCTTAGAGGAACAGCCCTTGGCTGGTTTAAATCCTATTTATCAGATCGATATCACTTCGTCAATGTGAATCAGGACTCGTCGCCTTATTCTGGAGTGGAATTCGGTGTGCCGCAGGGTTCGGTACTCGGACCGATTCTTTTTACTCTCTACATGCTGCCACTGGGAAACATTATTAAAAAGCATGGAATTAATTTCCACTGCTATGCAGATGACACACAGCTTTATCTGTCGATGAAGCCTAATCAGACAGATCAGCTAGAAAAGCTCAGTGCCTGCATAAAGGACCTTAAAATGTGGATGACTCTTAACTTCCTACTTCTCAACCCGGAGAAGACAGAAGTGATCCTACTCGGTCCGAAGCGCCTGCGTGACTCCCTCACTAACCAGATGGTTACTCTCGATAATGTCAGTATAATACCCAGTAACACTGTGAGGAATCTTGGAGTCATTTTTGACCAAGAACTCTCCTTCAAGGCTTATATAAGCCAAGCAACTAAAACGGCGTACTTCCACTTACGGAACATCGCTAAAATTAGGAATTTCCTTCCTAAAAGTGACGCGGAAAAACTCATTCACGCGTTTGTCACCTCAAGGCTCGACTACTGTAACGCTTTACTGGCAGCGTGCCCTAAAGCCTCTTTGAAGAGCTTCCAGCTCGTTCAGAATACAGCAGCTAGGATCTTAACAGGTACCAAAAGGAGGGAGCACATAACTCCGGTGTTAAAATCACTCCACTGGCTCCCTGTGGAGTACAGAATAAAGTTTAAAATCCTACTCTTAACATATAAAGCCATAAATGGCTTGGCTCCTTCTTATCTCCAAGACACGTTAGTGTCGTATCAACCAGGTCGAGCGTTGCGCTCACAAAACGCCAGACGTCTGGTGGTCCCTAAGGTCTCAAAGGTCACTGTTGGTGGCAGAGCATTTAGCTACCAAGCTCCTTTACTGTGGAATCAGCTTCCCATTTATGTTAAGGAAGCAGATACGGTCTCCACATTCAAGGCCAGGCTTAAAGCACTTTACTTTAATTTAGCATATAATTAGGTAATATATAATATGTAGTGTATATATTATATATATATGCTGTATTATGTTATATATTATGTTATATATTATTCAATAATGTATTGTGTTATGTTGTATATTATGTTATATATTATGCTGTATGTTATTCTTTATTCAAGGCTAGGTTTAAAACAGTCCTCTTTAGTTTAGCATATGGCTAGGAAGGTAAGACTCGGAGAAGGTTAAACTCCTCAGAGTGTTAGTCAAGCTGCATAGGGAGTCAGTTTGCTGGGAGAAGTATGGTAACTTGAGCACTATCCTCTCCTCCTTCCTACTTTATCTGTTTAGCATTTTTAGGATTCTGACTGTAGTTTGTTCATTGCTATTCACCCGTTGTCCCATTGTCTGTTTCATGGTACGATGACGGGATCTCTGAGCCTGGCCTCCTCCATCTACACCTGCGGACTGCCCCGCCCGACCCGCCTGGGAGTGCTTCAGTCCTGCACCGGACCTGTCCACGTTCAGCGTCCACTGGTCCACGTTCTGTAGCTAGCTTAGGTCCTGGATCATTAGTCTGTCCGTCCGGAGGAGCGGATCCCTTTCTCATATGGGTCTCCCTCCCTGTGGGTTTCCCTAGTTCTCCTCCAAGGTTTCTCACTTTTTCCCACTGGGTTTTTTAAGAGTTTTTCCTTGTCGATGCAGGAGGGTCTTGTTGGACAGTTAGTGTCCAACAGAAAGGATTGGTGATGATCAGGACACTTTAGCATTCTACAACATGTATGGACATTTTCTTCTGTGTGTGCTTTATACTGTATTCTTCATGTGTTTTAACTGTTGATTCTCTGACCTGTGTTGGTGATTTCAATGGTTTTGTTAAGTCCTCTGAGATGACTTCTGTTGTGACCTAGGGCTATACAAGAATAAATTGTATTGTATTGTATTGTATTGTAACATCGCAGAGTGGTTGGAACAGGTAGTGGCCAGGTTTGAAATTCCTCCTATTAAAATCATTGCCTTAGTCCATGACAATGGTGCCAACATTGTGGCTGCTGCAAACATATTGGAGAAGAAGCATGGGTGGTCCTCTGTGCGTTGTACCGGTCATACCTTGCAACTTGTGATCAATGCTGCACTGAAGAAGCATCAAAGCATTGAAAAAGCTATCGGGGCAGCAAGATGTCTTGTAGAACATTTTAAGAAAAGCGAGCTAGCCAGCAGTAAACTAAGAGGGAAACAACAACAAATGGCCACACCTGAGCACAGCCTTGTTCAAGATGTAAGCACAAGGTGGAATAGCACATTCTATATGATTAGCCGACTGCTTGAGCAAAGGTGGCCCATAACAACAACACTGTCTGACAGCTCTGTCACACAGACAGGAAAAAGGTACCTGGATTTGAAACCAGACCAGTGGACTCTACTGGAGGAGCTTTCAACAGCCCTCAAGCCTTTTGAATGTGCCACTGTGTTCATGAGTGGACAGAAATATGTGACAATATCAGCAATACCTCCACTTGTGAAAGGACTCTTGAAGTCCACCCAGAGTGCTGCCTTCGAGTCAGCCCCACTGCAGGCTTTCCAACTCACTGCTATAGAGCATCTGCAGGAGCGATGGAAAAGAGAGACTGCTTTCTCAGATACAGCATCAAACAGTGATTCTTGCAGCAGCCCTTGACCCGAGGTTTAGGAAACTGAAGTTTCTTTCACCCAACGAAGTCCTACATGTTCAATCTAAAGTGCAAACAATGGCACTTGAAGAGAGAAGGCAGATGAATGTGCACGACCAGCATGGCAGTTGCAGTGTCACCTCCACCGATAATACAGCCACTCAATCAACACATGCCACTCTACTTGATGTACTCCTTGGTTCCGATGGTGAAGAGGGCAGAGAAAGCGAAGTGGAGGATGTCCACACCCAGGTGAGGAACGAAGTCCTCACATACTTTGGAGAAAAGAACCTTGCTAAGGACGAAAACCCATTACTGTGGTGGAAGGCTAACAGTGACAGATACCCCATGTTAGCTACGCTGGCCAAGTCCTACATATGTATCCCTGGCACCTCGACACCATCTGAGCGGCTGTTTTCTGCAGCAGGCAACATAGCTTCCAAGAAGAGAGCCAGCCTTAGCCAGGAGCATATAGACATGCTAACATTTTTGCACTGCAATTCAAAGTTCCTGAAGAAAGACAGTGAGGGAGAGTGAAAGTGTCTGTTTGTGTGCGTCTGTGCCACTCTGATAACTTTTACTTAGCGTTGAACAAGTTTTAATGTTAAAACGAATCCTGTTTTGTGATTGACCTGCGGAGTGCCACAGGGCTCAATCCTGGGGCCTCTCCTGTTTAATATTTACATGCTGCCTCTGGGTAGGTTAATACACAGTAATAACGTGTCCTATCACAATTACGCTGACGATACTCAGGTCTATGTGTCCCTGACAGCAGGAGAACATGGACCAGTGGACTCGCTCCTTCACTGTATCCAACAGATCAGTGATTGGATGCAAAATAACTTTCTCCAGCTAAACACAGAAAAAACTGAAATTATTGTTTTCGGACCTCAGAAACAAAGAGAGAGCGTTATCTGCCACCTCCAGTCTCTCTCCCTGAAACCCTCAACTCAGGTCAGAAATCTAGGAGTAATAATGGACTCAGACTTGAATTTCAATAGCCACATATCATCTGTGACATCATCAGCTTACTTCCACCTAAGAAACATTGCTAAAATTAAAAACATTGTGTCTAAAGCAGACTTGGAGATTCTTATCCACGCATTTGTCTCCAGTCGATTGGACTACTGCAATGGCTTGTTCACAGGTCTCTCTAAACAAGCGGTAAAACAGCTGCAGTACATCCAAAATGCTGCAGCTCGAGTCCTGACTAGAACCAGGAAGTACGACCACATTAGTCCGGTCCTCAGGTCTCTGCACTGGCTTCCTGTGGCTCAGAGAATAGATTTTAAAGTAGCTTTACTTGTGTACAAGTCTCTCCATGGCCTCGCACCAGGGTACATCCGCGACATGTTGGTGCCATATGAACCAACTCGGGCTCTGAGGAGCACAGGGACTGGACTTCTGTTAGTGCCAAGAGTCGGAACTAGACATGGGGAGGCTGCGTTTCAGATTCATGCAGCTAGAGTCTGGAACCGTCTTCCCGAGAGTGTGAGACAGGCGTCTACTCTGGCAGTTTTTAAAACTGAACTGAAAACAGTTCTTTTTAGCTGTGCATACAAGTGAATGATTTTACATTTGTTTTTATCTTTAATCTTTTTAATGCGCTAGGATTATTTATGATTATTTATGATTGTAATCCCTTGTGTGATTTTAATTTTTTACGGTTTTTAACTACTTGTGTGATTTTATATATCTTGTGCTCTTAATCTGTCTTTTTATGTTTACTTAAATTCTAATGTTTGATGATTTATGCATGATGTTATATGGGTTGTGAGGCGCTTTGCGTTGCCTTGTGTAGGAAAGGCGCTCTATAAATAAACGTTGATTGATTGATTGATTTTTATTTTATATAATTTATTGTTCTGACTGCTCAGGTCCCGTTAAACGACAATACCCGTATATGTGCACTTAGCCTTCACTTTACTTAGCAAGTCATGAACAAGTTTTAATGTTAAAACAAATCCTGTTTTGTGATTTTTTTTTAATATTATTTATAATAATTTATTTATTGTTGGGACTGCTCGGGTCCTGTTAAAATGCACAAAAAAAGGTATTGTTTTTTTACTTTTATACTGCATAGCATACATTTGTATGTTTCTTTGTGTTGATCCATGGCCATGTTTTTTAATAAAGGGATGGAAACTAAAAATGTTTTTTTTTTTTTATTGATTAATCGAAGAAATAGCAGCTCATTGAGATTGTCCCCTTTATAACAAAAAGAACAGTTAAATACAATCCTGTTCTTGCCATTGTGGCTCACCATGTGATGTCAGATGAACCAGGACTCCTTGGCTCTGCTCAGCTCTACCTCTGGGATTTTAACAACGTAGCCTGCAGCATCTAGTTTAGCGATCTCTGAGCTGTAGGCGGCGGCTCTCATTGGGTCACGCAGCAGCCTTCTCTCTGTGCTGCGGAGATTGGCGAGCACAGCCTCCTTTGGCGCATTGAGTTGTGGCAAGTTCTTCACCCTGAGTGTGGCATACCTGAGTACTCGATGGATATCGACCCTTGTTGTTTTGGCCTCCAGCAGCTGTATAGCCTCTTGATCCTGATAGGGGCAAAATGCACTCTTCTCTGTTTTATTGGGAGTGGATGTCTGCTCGGCTGGGGGGGTATCACTGGGCTTGTCTGCAGTATGGAGAATGCTTGTGGGTTTGTTCACCTTACTGTCTTGAAGTCGCGCTGCTCTGTGTTCGCTGCTCTTAACTCCACTGTGCAGAGACTCATACACTGTCTCCTGCATCTTCAGCTCGTAGTCTAACCAGTCAGAGAAGTGCAGAAGGGTGGGGATGGTGACACGCATTGGATACAGGAACCTTTTGAACTGTGCTCTCATATCTTGTGGCAGCTTGGATAATAATCGAGTCACGTGTGACCCACAGCAGAGCTCTGTTTGTCCACTTTCACCCAACTGCTCCAGTAGGTCCACCAGTGCTCTTACTCTCAATCCAAGAGTGAAGGGAGTGCAGTACTCGGGTGTCCGCGCTTGAGGGGGGTGATGAGGTGAAATGTACCTTGGCTGCTCTTGTGATGATGTTCTCGTATCCCTCAGCAGCTCTGTAAGTTCAGACACTAACTTCTCTGGGGGCAGTGGCCGACTTTCCTCGATGAACTCGTCTGTTACAGGAGGGGGAGGAGGGGGCCAGTCCTCATCATCCTCTGCAGGTACTGTGAAGTTGATGGCCTGTGCAGGAAGAGGATTCAGCAGGGACTGACTGGGAGGCTGGTTTACAAAGGTACTGGAGGCTAACAGAGGAGGGGCTGATGTTTGGATGGCTGCTTCTGGCAGAGTATGGCTTTGCTCTGAATACATCTCTTTATATGTCCCACAGTGGCCACACTATCCCGGGTTTCGGCACCAAAATGTAGTGGGGAGAGCAAGTTTATCTGGTTTGTAATGGGGGATTGTGACCACCAGGGAGCATCGGTAAGAATGCACTGCTTAGAGATGATCCAGGTTTGGTTTATTAAAACTTCTTCATTACACACTTCGTGGCATTGTATTTATGGGTGTGTGTGTGGTCATGGAGCTCTTCGCGAAAATTCACTGTGGTAGACCCGGCCGCTGCTGCCAGATCTACAAGCCTGCTCATCCTCTACTCATTACACCAGCAAAACGCCCACATCTAATCCACCAATAACCACCAGGACAGCAAGTTAAAAGCCGGAGACGCCCACTTCCCGGCCTTCTGAAGTCTGCAAGCCTCCGCCGCCCCACCTCCTCCTTCTCTCATCGAAGCGTGCTTGCCTACTGCCTCTGCCGTCACCAGTGCCTAGGCCCCGGGGGGGATTATGCACGCGAGCAAGCGCCGCGTCCAACAGCATCTCTCCCGGGCCTGGGGCGCCAAACATGCTCAATCAATAAACTTCTAACTGCATTTCCCTCTTGGGTCTCTCCAAAGTGAACTTTGGAAAAAACAGAGAAAATGTAGATTAGAATGAGCAACGTAACTAAGGCATTATGTAAACGAGAATAGCACACTAATAACCTTTAAGATAAGATAAGATAAGATAAACCTTTATTAGTCTCACAGTGGAGAAATTTCACTGTCATCGTTGCACATTACAGCAGAGAAAGGAAATAAGAGCACTCAGATTGCACACATCAAAGTCTATTATTTAAGATAATAGACAATAAATTTAAGATAAAATTAAATAAAATGAGATAAACTCTGGGCTATAATTGCACTTGGTTCGGAGTATTTACAGATGTCTATATTATACATTAGCAGCGGAGAATATGAGAATATGAGCAGTATAAATGTAGCGACGAGCGGTTCCGTAACCACGGAACAGGGTTACAAAATCTAAAACAATGACCCTAATTTAGTTGCCACAACGCCACCCTGGAATTTCAGGTCCAGGGACCTGGATAGAAAACTAAAGAGAATTGAAATTTCACCCCGCTAAGGTCACACAGGTTCGACAGAACTGAGAGGAACGACAGACAAAAGCACGATTAATTTACATTATGTTTATTTTTAATTGGAAATAAAGTTTACAAAACTATTTAAAATTTTTAGTTATAAATTGTTTAAAACGCACACACACACGCAGTCACACCACTCACTCAAACACGCACCCAAATCAAATGTACAAAACCAATAAACCAAAAAAGGTGGTTCAAAACATGTGCAGCCTGTTTGGGAACATCAGGAGCTTTGTTACCTTAAAACTTTTCGTTCTTCGGAGCGCCTTTGGGACTCCGTACCTTTGACTCAATACTCCAAAGAAAGTCTATATAAGGGACCAGTCCTGAGTGGAGAGGTTCAGTCGGAAATCGATGTGGGAGGAAGCGAAACTTGACCCAGTCCTATGTAGCAACGATTAGAATCTAGTTACTAAATACACAATGGGGAAACCACAGCGCAGAGGTGCTCTACTTACCTATGTAGCACCCAGAAGCCTGCATGGAACAAGCAGCGGAGATGAACGGCGGTACGCCGTGTCCGTGCTCTTCGCACCGGCGTTACTACAACGGAGACGCAGGAGGTAAGACCTCGCACTCGGCCAAGTGGGTAAGCTTGAATGCATTAAATAACTGCTTACCGGAGACTGAAGCTGATCAGGCGCAGGGCATATTACACGCCGAGATGAGGAGCTGACAAACGGAGCGAAGCCACACGTTGACGCCAAGGTCCAACACCGCGTTTATGACAAACCGCGGTTCGGAGGTTGCACTACGCTTTTAAGAGTGCTGTCTCGGCTTTACATTGTGATTTTAGTGGGTTGTCTGTGGCTTCGGTCCAGCTCCTCAGTGTCACGCGGAGGGAAGAGGCAAAAGGTGAGAGAAAGCGCACCCGCAGGAGTTTCCCCAATCAAGGCTCGGGCGCGGCGTGATTGGACTGCCAGTGGGGGAGGGCCTACCACTACATTCTACCCCCCCCCACTTGGATCGTCGACCCGACGATCGACATGGACTAGTACCATGGCCGAAAGACGGCAGGAGCTGGATTTGATACCGGATTTTGGTTGTCTAGTATTGAACGTGGCAAATTATGTGGATTGGTGTGGCGACCAGCGGTGGAGCGCGACGATTTTCTCGCACCAGTACTACCTGGGTCGACCGTTAAAAACAGCCCAGAACTAGAAGATGGTCCAGCAACTGGCGTTCCCATTTCCACGGTACGTACAAGTCTTGGGGCCAGCAACGGAGGCTGCGAATCTACAGGCCGATGAGGGACAGGCCCCAGTTCGGGCGTACCCTCCGAAACAACATACCACAAATCTTCGTCATCCGATGACTCCCTGAGTAAGTCCCGTGGTGAGACAGAAGATGAACGCTCGTTTTGAACTTCCACAGGTTGGTTAAGTTCAACAAAAACCTTTATCAACGAGCGATGAACTTGTTTAACCCTAGTCTGGTCTTGCACTGGAGCAATGGTGTAAACTGAACCTCCCTCCGATGGAGCTCTCAAGACAACATGCAGCACAGAGGACCACAAGTCTTGAATCTTACAACGACCCCGCACACTAGTATTGCGCACCAAAACCATTTGTCCTTCCCTCAAAGGCCCATCATGCACACGTTGGTCATGTTGGTCCTTTCGACGTTGGGCCGCTGCCCTCAAGCGTTCCTGAGCTCCATCAAAAGCCAGCTTCAAACGGGCTTGGTGCTCCAAGATCCATTCATGGGGACTACCAGCAACAGGATCGGACACTTGACCCAAAAGAAAATCAACGGGGAGTCGGGGTTCCTGACCAAACATCAAGTAGAACGGCGACTCGCCAGTTGACTGATGAGGCGTGGTGTTATAAGCATACAAGACTTGCGGTAGGCACGCACACCAATCGCGTTTCCGGGATGCCGGCAACGTGCGGAGTAAGTTGTGCAACGTGCGATTAAATCGCTCACACTGGCCATTCCCAGATGGATGGTATGGTGTTGTACGCGATTTCTCAACCCTATAAAGTTCACAAAGCTGGTGCACCAGCAAGCTCTCAAAACATCTGCCCTGGTCTGAGTGGATCCTAGCTGGGACTCCAAACTTTGAAAACCACTCCGACACAAGCACTCGCGCCACAGTAAGCGCCCGTTGATCTCTAGTTGGTACGGCAAGAGTGTACTTGGTGAAAACATCTGTGATGATGAGCACACTTTCCACTCCATTCTGTGATGGTTCCAACAAGGTGAAATCCAGTGCGATGATTTCATTTGGGCGTGAAGCAAGGAGGTGGCCCATCGGTGCCCGAGCTGGTGGACGAGAATCTTTGGCGACCTGACAACGCTCACATTGATGGCACCATTCTCTCACTGCCTTGGACATCCCAGGCCAATAGCAGCGGGATCTGAGCAATGCCAGGGTCCTTTCTACACCCTGGTGGCCGTGTTCATGATGCACCTGAGTTAGCACCTCCTCTATCAACGCAGCTGGTAGCAGGAGTTGGAATATGGCTAAACCACCATCAGGACGGAAAACCTTCCGATACAACAACTCACCCCGCTCAACTAAACGGTCCCACTGCTGGAGCAAGATCAAAGCAGAAGGAGAAAGGTTTCTCCGTTCCTCACTGTTTGGTCGTACCTTCGCTCTCCAAAAGGGCAGTACTTCCTGGATAACCACATCACTCGCCTGAAGGGCACGAATGTCACAAGAGGGGTGGCCAGGCAGGGCCGACACGATGGATTGGGTGGCCTCTACCTGTTCCTGACCACTCAACCTTTGCAGAGGATAAGGAATAAGCGCGCCTGGGAGCATTCCAGCAAGCTCGGATGAACGAAAGCCCGGTTGTCGGGACAAAGCATCCGCGCTTCGATTACTTTTGCCGGACCTGTACCGCAACTCAAAATCGAAAGACGCGAGCTGTGCAGCCCAACGCTGCTCCACAGCTCCAAGCTTTGCTGTCATCAGGTGACTAAGAGGGTTGTTGTCGGTGTAGACAACACACTTATGACCTAACAAATACTCTCGAAATTTGTCCGTCATTGCCCACTTAAGGCCAAGCATCTCGAGCTTCATTGAGCTGTAGTTCAACATGTTGCGTTCTGTAGGACGCAAACCACGACTTGCATACGCAACTGGTCTAACCTTCCCTTCATGCTCTTGAGAAAGAACCGCCCCCAGACCATGGTGGCTCGCGTCAACCTCCAAAATGAACGGACGCGAAAAGTCTGCATATGCAAGCACTGGTGCACTGGTCAACTTCGCCTTCAGGCCGTCAAAGCTCTCTTGACATTCATTAGTCCAAGTTTCACCGTCACACTTCCCTGATCTCTTCGACTTCCCTGTCAACGTTGCAACTCTCCGATGCAGCAGTGCTGCCAACCTTGCAAAACCCTCAACGAAGCGACGATAATAGCTTGCAAAGCCTAAGAAAGAGCGAAGCTCTGTTACTGTTGTGGGCGTCGGCCAATTTGCCACACATGCAATTTTTGCCGGGTCTGTAGAGACCCCTTGGTCAGAGATAACATGACCTAGATAACTGACCTTGCGTTTCAAGAAGCTACACTTGCTGAGCTTAACCTTTAAGCCCTCATGATGGAGCCGTCCCAGGACACCATCCAGCCGCTGAAGGTGCTGCTGAAAGTCGGCGGAAAAGATGATAATATCGTCCAAGTACAACAGTAATGACTGCCCTTGCTGATCACCGAAAATGCGCTGCATAAGGCGCTGGAAGGTCCCTGGGGCGTTACAAAGGCCAAAAGGCATTCTATTCCACTCGAAAAGCCCAAAGGGGGTACAGAATGCAGTTTTAGGTCGATCTTTCTCGGCAACTGGCACTTGATTGTACCCAGCAGCAAGGTCCAACGTTGAAAACCAACACGCGCCCGTCATGGCATCCAAGGATTCGTCAATTCGGGGGAGGGGGAAA